GTCTGACAGACCTTTACTCCTGAGTGGAAATCTTTAGAGCATCCCATGCATGAATACAGCATGATGTGTGAAATGTCTGTATCCGTGCGACCCGACCCCGCACACCCCCTCCCAGCCAAAAAAACTTTCCCCACCCAGTACAACCCCCTTTTCCTATTCTTCCTGTCATCCTCCTAAGTTTTCCCGACTTCCTGCCAATTTGTTGAACTTTCCAAAAATCTCCCATTTTTCCCGAAAAAACTGAGGTCGAGCAGGGAATAAGGGGATAGCAGATATCCTCTCGTTGGAAAGGTTCTTTTGAAGGTGATCGCGCCCCCTCCCCTCCCCAGCGACCAGATACGACCCACCGAGTGGTTCTCCCAACGATCGTGCACCCTTATTCCATGGAACGCATCAGATGATCCTGTGACTGAGTTGAAATAAAACCATTTCAGATGAGTAGGCGTTGTCATAACCACTTGGGACCATTGTTGGGACGGGACCATTATTTTTGTGAATCCGCAAATGAAACGGTTCGTCGCATCTCTCGTACGAGCAAGAGATCAAAACCTGTCTCGACTCTCTCCCGAGCCTCTGATCAGTTGGCACCATACCAGTCTGGAGGAAAATGCTAACATTCACGCCATCGGGTGGCCCTTTAATCATCTCCAAAACTAGCTCGCAGTGAAAATGTCGCTGTGATGCTGAATTGAAGTTCTACAGGGGTATTCCTAGACTGAAGCCCCGGAGATAATTTCTGGCACATTCCTAGGAGCCAATCGCTTCATCCTTATTGCCCTTTTTCTGCCCTGATCATTCGCCTGCCCATTTGCTGACACATGGCATTACCCATACTTTGAACGAGCTCCACTTGGATGTGACTGCATATTTTACCGCTCAGCATTCACTATCCTGGGTGTTCAGCTCGCACAACAGGGTTCAAAACTGCTGCCATCAACGATGAGGAAGGGGGAGATATGAATCACAAAGATTTAGGGAGGGGGAGATGGGAAGTAAGCATAGTAGCCGACGAACGCAAGCCAGCAGTAATGTAGTAACGCTTTGCCGAACATTACATTTTTGCCGAGGTCCTTTCTTTCATGAAATCGCCAGACCGCCTATCTAAACAACACCTCGACCCATCCTCCACTATTTACTTTGACGAGGGCTTGAAGGTCGCCATTACCCTCAGATTAGCCGAGATATTTTCGGAATCATCGTTGACTCAACGCCCTTGAATTCTGGATTGAACAACAAATATCACAGACAAAAACACGCTATCAGTGAGCACGACTCCCGATGTTTGCCTCAAACCGTCCAAGCGTAAACCCACACAAACTGAACGGCTTTAACCTTAATCCCCAACTAATTTCAGGCCGCTCCTGTGATGCAGTGCGCTCCTCAATGTCAACCATCATGTCAACCGGCTTGTACTGCGCAAGTGCAGACATACGCTCAACCACCTGCAGTGGTTATGTGTCCTCAGCCAGCAGGACAGTGTTCTTGCGGTTCTGGATACTCTCAATGCATGCAAGGAGTCTGCTGTCTACGAAAACGACACCGCCAAGCAAAAACCGTCAAAGCCGTCTAATCGCTTTATCTGTACTTAGAAGACTTGAATCTTTGTTAGCCCCAGGTTATTAGCTCCGGTTGAGAGTTTAAAGGAAACCCTCGCTTTGGCTTTTTACTCTTGCTCAAGATGAACTCGAACCTCACCGCTTGTGTCTCATTACTGTAGACACACTCCTGTCAAGAAATTCCAATAAGTCGACACTCACGTTCGATAATTGTGACAGGTTAGCCATTTGTGCAACAGCTCTTCTGCTCAAATTACTTGTTATCAGTCCAGGATTTGGTAAGGAATCCGCATTTTCATGTATATCTGGTTCTGTTTGGATATCAGTTGCTTCTCTGACATTATTATGATTATTAATAAATATTTGAACCTATTGGCGGTATTTAGATACTTGCTCACTGTGATAATTGCCGTTTAACACCGCAGTTCGCGCTCCAGCACAAGCTGAAGCGCAAAAGCTAATGGGCAGGGAGGGTACAGGTCACCCTTGGTGGTGTAACGCATAGCGCTCATGCCCAGTAAGTGTGAAGTGCGCATTCGAGCCCTGCCTGGGATCACAACATTTACCCATATGTCAGCGTTTACCGACGCAACCATATTGTTAATCAGTCCAAGTCCGAAATACGTCAGTACATACTCCTTACCCCTGAGAAGAAGTAGGCGTGGTATTCGAACATGGCATGAAATGGGCCACTCGTGGGATATTTCCGTTGGAGACAACTGTCATCTTGTTCTATTTAGTCATACATTCAAAAGTGACGTTAAATTATAGAGGATAGTGGCAGAACCAGCAAACGACGGTATGGATAAGCGGACCTGCTATAGATTCGATTTAGCGGAATAACTCAGTACTGATGTATTTGTGGATTCTGCGAACCTACCAAGAGGAAGCTCTCGAGAAATTGAAAGTAAGCCTAGAGTTCATGAAAACTCAGCGTCCGATTTCAGATCAGCGTCATAGGAGTGGAATGTGCGTCTGCTCAATATCGACCGCTCGGACCACTAGTTGGTGTAACGGTGCTCTCAAAATAAAGGTTTAAAGTTTGGTTCCCGCTAGCCGAAGAAGAAAAGGAATAATTTTGTCTGTGGGATAGGTGTATTATAATGTTTCATCCGCTCAAGAAAAAAGGGTAGATACTGAAGTCAAGCCTGAGTGCCTCGATCCAGAGCCTTAGACTGAAGATCCGCCGCAAGTCTGACAATCCCAGCTGCAATTTTTTTTGTCTGCTGCCCGAGTTGTGTCTGATAAACGAGGATGGTCTAAGAGGTTATCGCATGGTCGAAATTTGCTTTGGAAGCCGGACGCAGTACCGATTCTGTGGCCTTCTAGCAGTAATGTTCTCAAGCAATGAGATGTCATTTCACTGGACTCTGAAGAGCATCCGCGGCCTTCAGAATGAAATAGTTGGTCTTGGACTTCGAGCCAAAACTCACAGTGTCAATTTGTAATAGAAAGCAGATGAGAAGGCCGCCCGAGTTCTAAAACTGAGGGATTACTGGTGGCGCAAGTGATGGTAACCAGTACGAAGACTTTACACTGAGCTTTTGAGGGCGGCTCTTACGGCGAAATTAAAATGTCGCTGTCAGTGTATATTGCCTATCACTCCGCAATCAGAATCGACAAATGGATGATACCACACAACTACAAGAAGGCCACCGTTGCTCGTCATAGTGCCAGACCCCGAGTAACTGTATTGTAGGGCAGTGCTGGGACACAAACAATACTGAGACCTGGGTTCAATCACCCCATTCGCCCGACATAAAGCCGAGCGATTCCAATTGTTCTCGTCAGTCGAGAGTACTCTCCGACGGCAAACGCTACAATGTTTTGTCATTCGCCGAATTGGCATCAACAGCAATTTACTCGCACTTGTTGAAAAATCGAAGGTACCAGAGGTCCAAAGGCTTTCGGGGCACTGGGAGCGGGTCATTGGTGAAGGAGGGATTTACTTAACTTGGAGCCAAAATATTACTTTTTATCTATTCTCCTCTTTGTTTTATTCGAAAAAACCGACGGCACTTTTGAATGGGATGACCTAATATGCTGGACAGAGACACGACCACAATTGTACAATGAAAATATCTTTTCTGAACACAGCTACCGCCGTGGATTGTTGAAGTACGCAGGCAGGCCTACAACATCTCAGGAATTTCGAGTATAGAAGTCGACTAAGTGAAAAATTGCAGAACGTTTTGTCGTCTCTGGGTACCATGAGTTTGTCACTGTGAAACCACTTTACATCACAACAAATGAGAAACATTTCCGCGAACAGAATTTCTGGGTTTTGGCACACCAACGATTCTATAGATGGAGCGAAGGAAGAAAGAGGGGGAAAAGCGAACCGTCTAAGGCGCCCTAAGTAAGACTCCCTGCTGAGGAGCAATATCCA